GGGGCCCCCAGCGACCAGAGCTATGGGACCAGGGCTGTGGGATTATGGCCCACAGCCCCCTTCCCCTGCCCACCAGCAACGTCCAAGCCCCAGCTCCTGCCCGTGGGAGGTGGTGGCTGCTCCAGCCAGAGTGGAACATGAAGCCCAGCTTCTTCTGCCCTCCTCCCCTGTGGGCAGCACAGCCGGAGCGGAGCCCATTGGTGGGGTGAAGAGTAGGGAAGATGCAGGTTGTCTGCTTTTTTCTCCTTTAAAGGAGAAAATCTGTGATTGTTTTTGCAACCCCATTTTTAATCGTTGTGACCCCAAATGGGGTCATGACTCCAGAGTTGGGCACTGCTGCTCTATTGGAAGACCGATGAAAAACCCTTTTCATGTTAATTTTCAAGCCTATTCATCCAAATTCAGCAGGTTCTATATATAAAGCTAGAGCAAGTTGGCAAAACTCATTTTCAGTGGCAATTAGGTTCCTAACTCCCTTAGTTTTACTTGAAGGTGCCAGATAATCATACACTAGTATGTAGCTACCTTTATAAATTACATGTTCAAATTCATTTGAAGTGTACATGTCTTATTACATTAACTCGATTCTTTTTGTCCTACTAAGTTTGGAGCCAAAAGGCACAGAAGACCAAAAATTATTTTTGAAACATGAACTTTGACAACTTATATGAAATAACAAATGAAAACTCAGCTGGCTATACAAGTACTGTTGCTTTCAATAAGTAAAAGTACTCCCCAAGACAGTGTGTTAAAGAAAGGAGAGAAATTTCTGGTCTGATATGTCACTCACCATTCCTACCAATGGGTAAATAAATCCAGCTCCAATGCTGGCCCGCACGTCACTGATGGGCAGAACGAAGCCAGTTGGAACGCCTTTCCTTTCAGGCTGGTGGGAGAGGGACAGGTGAGTTTTTGCCATACAGACTGGCAGATTTCCAAATCCCTGACAGAAGAAAGAAATGTTACTAAGGTTATGATGCTACCTAGTCTACAATAAAGAAAACAATAATCAACTCCACTTAATTATGTTACCAATATCTTCCATAAACTGAGAATGTCCCAATAGTGTTAAAGAATTTTAGGAAGGTTAGAAGTTAACAACTAATAAATGCAGAGAACATTTTAGTCTACATTGACCTTATGCTTAGTCTACTTGAAGTTACATTTTTATTTTTTAAGAATAACTACTGCAATTGAGCTCTAACCACAGCAAGAACAGAGGCTCTTTTAGGGCAAGGGTCTCAAAGATATGGCCCACAGAGTCCTATCCTTCAGCCTGCAGTACTGCCTCTGGTTCATGGACCAATGTGTTGCATGCAGCATGCACTGACCCTGGCCCTATCCACTGCATGTGGACTCTGCTTGGCATGGGCTCTACATGGCATGGGGTCTGGAGCCAGTGCATGCTGCATGCAGTATGTGGGGCTAGTCTGGGGAGTGAGCCACATCCAGCATGTGACCCAGAATGGCAAGCCCAGCCATGCTGGCCTGGGGCTGCATGTGGCACATGGGGCTGGTCTGGTGCACACTGCATGTGGTACCTGCACTAGACTGGCCCTGTGGACTGGATCTGGTATGTAGGGCTGGTCTATGGGCCCAAATCAACTTGCAGATTGGCTTTGCACCCTTCATACTCTGTTCTAGGATAATAACTTTCTCCATCTCTCCTGCTGGAATTGTTTTACTCTGTAGAAAACTAAAGATTTACTGGACCAGAGAAAAAGTAAGCAAGAGTAATTATGACTCTGTAGCCTAGTGGTTTGGGGACCCACCTAGGAAAGGAGAGACTGTGTTTTGGGCTCTATTTCAAAGATCGTTCATTTGATTCCATGGCGTTTTCCATACATCACTGAAAAGTAGACCCCAGTATCTACTTTCTCTCTTTTCCTCCATTTCTGAATGAAAGCAGTAACTCTGGGTGCTGTTCTTTGTTCAGAGCCCACAGCTGTAGGTATGCTATCACTGCACTGACTAGATCAGGCCCCTCAGGGGACATAGGCAGGGGAACAGTCAAATGTAAGCATGAGAGAGTACCAACAAGATGCTTAGCTTTAAACAAGACTGGCACAGTTTGGGACATATGTAGAAGTAGAGATTTTATTAGAGAACTTTACCAGTAAAAACCTAGGAACCTACAAACTCTCAGTTGCCTAAAAAATTAAGCGATGCCTTTGAAGATATTGCTCATGGGCTTCAAACAGAGCTAATAATTATAGAAGCTTGTTTCCATATAGATATTCAAGGCCATTATTAAAAGGTTTGCTTTTTAAAGATGTCTGAACTTCTACATCTAGTTCTTGTTATGAGTATACAACTACAGCATCCATCTCTTCTAGGGTTTAACCAAATTAATCAGCAGAGACACTATACAATTCAAATTAGCAGGCAAATATAGCTGATGTGGTGATCGCTCCAGAAAGTCTACTCATTGTCCTCTGACTCAAAAATTTTCTAGAGACACTGATGTAAACAATACTGAAGGAGAAGAAACAACCACCAAAAAAATAACAAGTCATACTAACCAGACAGCTCATAGCAAATAGTGCGAATGAAGGGGAAATCTGCACATTTAGTTGGGCACATGATTTCCTGTTTTTATATGCACCAATACTCACGGGGAGGGGTTGCAAATATAAACAATCATTTGTATGTAAAAACTAGGCAAATACAAACCACAGTGGAAACTATTCAGTGAGATGGTGCCTTTTCAAGCACCAATATACACATTTGCACAGCACTGTTCTGCAAGTGCCCTGAGCAGAACTTGAATATTTCTGTGAACACACCATTACTTCCTTTTTAGAAAATTTGGCTCTATTTTTAGATTTGGTCACCTTAGCTTTCGAACTGATTAAGAGCTCCTTAGTGATCAGTACGACAATTAAGTAAAGGTACACAAACATATAACACCCATGTGTATTCAGGAGATTTAAAGAGATACTTATAAAAAAGACTGAAAAGCCTTGGTACAAGCAGCACTGATGACATGCAATCTAGCAGTAACAAATGTCTTAATAACAAATGGGAAGACAGAAGAAATAATCATGTGAAAAACAGCTGATTCATGTGTTGTGATTCAGACACCAGCTTGGAAAATCATAATCAAATGCACATGCATAAGATATCTGTCACGGAGAAGCTAAATTTATTACATTCTCTCAAATATTAAGCAATATCAGGCCAAGACTTGGCTAACTCTTCAGCACCATCCACCCTGTGGAGATATTTGCATTGTTGCAAAGCACATCTGAAATACTAAGTGCTGATTTGGTAATATTTTACACCCTTTATGCACACAGTTTTCAGAGTTGTAAGGTGCAAGGCCATGGTCAACCATATCCAACGTGTTCAGCATGTCTTTTTACCTGTTGGCTGTAACGATCGATTTGTGTTTGTGCTGTAGGAGACAACTCTATATCCTGTGCTCCATAGACCTTCTGGGCAATGATCCTTATTTTTTCAACAATAGGAAGCTGTGGAATAAAGAAAGGTAACAAAATATTTATACACATAACAGAGTTAACTACATCCCATGTGCTGAGCTTTTGTCTTTGTGGTTAGATTTATTCCCAAGTTTATAGAGGTTTCTTCTCTGGAACAGAAGCAGGTGTGGGGCTCTGAAGGTGATAGGTGTACTATACAGGAGATGGGGTTTTGGGAACAACTGGTGGATTCACGAAGGGCAAGTCATGCCTGACTGCCTTCTATACCAAAATGACTGGCTCTATGGATGCAGGGAGAGCAGTGGACATGATATACCTTGACTTTAGCAAGGTTTTTGATACGGTCTCCCACAACATCCTTGCAAGCAAGCTAAGGAAGCATGGGTTGGATGAATGGACTATAAGGCGGACAGAAAACTGATTGGATCATCAGGCTTAACGGGTAGTAGTAATCTATAGCTCCATGTCTAGCTGGCAGCAGGTATCAAGTGGAGTATCCCAGGGGTCAGTTCTGGGCTGGTTTTGTTCAATATCTTCATCAGTGACCTGGAAGATGGGATGGAGTACACTCTCAGCAAGTTTGCAAATGACACCAAGCTGGAAAAGTAGTAGGTATGCTGGGGGGTAGGGAAAGGATTCAGAGACCTAGACAAATTGGAGGATTGGGCCAGAAGAAATCTCGTGAGGTTCAATAAGGACAAGAGCAAAGTCCTGCACTTAGGATAGATCAATCCTATGCAGCACTACGGCTTGGGGACTTACTGGGTAAGTAGCATGTCTGCAGAAAAGGACCTGGGGCTTACAGTGGACAGTAAGCTGAATATGAGCTAACAGTGTGCTCTTGTTGCCAAGAAGGCTAACAGCATACTGGGCTTCATTAGTAGGAGTGTTTCCAGGAGATAGAGGGAAGTGACTCTTCTCATCTATTCAGCACTGGTGAGGTCACATCTGGACTACTGTGTCCAGTTTTGGGCCCTCACTACAGAAAGGATACAAACAAACTGAAGAGAGTCCAGTGGAGGGCAACAAAAATGGTTACTGGGCTTCTTTAGTTTGGAGAAGAGAAGACTGAGAAGGGATTTAATATCAGCCTTCAATTACCTGAAGGATGACTGAAAAAAGGATGGAGCTAGTGGTGGCAGATGACAGAACAAGTAGCAATGGTTTCAAGTTGCAGCAAGGGCAGTTTATGTTAGAAACCAGGGAAAACTCCTACAAGGAGGGTAGTAAAACACTAGAACAGGTTACTAAGAAAGGTTGTGGAATCTCCATCCACGGAGGTTTTTAAGACCTGGCTAGATAAAGTCTTGGTTAAGATGATCTAGTCTGGAATGATCCTGCTTTAAGTAGGAGGCTGGACTAGATGACCTCCCTTCCAACCCTAATTTTCTATGATTCTATGATTTGTACATTTCAAAAAACAGGGGGCAGTAGCCAATAACAGGGCCCAGACTGAATGGCCAAGAGATGCATCAAGTTATACACCTTCTGCCAGGATGGTCACAGTAACATCATCTGCCTTTTTGCAGATAAAATCAAAACATGAAATGGATTAACATGCACAGCAAAGTTAATATTTGCTTTTTATTTTCAGTTCTATAAGGAGGGAGGAAATTCTTGATCTTAAGAATATTAAGAATCAGTAATCTTAGGACAGAAGTCAAAAAGTTCCAGTGGTAACAGTGATAACTACACACTTACGTTTGATATCACAATTAAGGTGAATTGCAATTAAAGTTATAGGGTACCAAACTGGCAGCAGGGAGAGGAGGGGTAATAAATGCCTGCTTGCTGATCAGAGCGGAAGGCCCTTTATGGCAGGCCCCCTCTCTTTTCACTGACTAAAATTCTTCCTCGTTCCCACCTCCCTCAATTTTTCTGGGTAGCAAGTAGGCTGTAAAGCACAAGGGGAACCTTAGATGAAAGGCATTATAGGAGTACAGAGATGTCTAAATCAGTGCTGTTCAACTTGCAGCCACCTGCTTGTTACTCTTCTCATTGCTCCTGATGCTATACACATACAAGTGCCCACACACTGGCATCAGCTGCCCACTATGACAGAATCAGGGCCCCATACACAAATCCCTGCTCCCCCACAGGATGGCAGGTGTGTAAGCGGGCATGGAGGGTGTGCAGAGGAGAAAGGGGAGTGGCAGTGCAGCATCACAGGGCAATGAATCATCCTGGCACAGTTCTGGTTAGCGGTACAACAGTACTATACCATGATCAGCAGGTGAGAGCCAGGATCTCTGGAGAAGTGCCAATAAGCAGTTTTGTTTCAAGAAATATTTTTTCCAAATAGAAACCAGAAGGCAGCAGCAGGCGCTGGCCCAGCCCAGCCTGAGCACTGCTGGGCTGGCAAAACTACAGCAGTGTGGAAGGGTAAAGAGGGAGGGGGAGGCCCTCAGTGTGTGGCCCCCAGCTGCTTAGGAATTGGACAGCCCAGGAATTGGAATGGTCTAGATTATAGTTTAAAACTGTAATATTTAATCATATAAGTATCCAATTTTAAAAGTCTGAGCATAGGGAACACATGACTGGAATGGACTGCGAGGATCGCTCTGTCCAGTCCCCCACTATCACTGACAACATTTTGTAATTGTTGTGTCTGTTCATAAACTGACTAAGCTCCATCTCATAACTACTTAGGGTTTTTTCCTCTATTACTTTTATGGGAAAACAGTTTCAGAATCTCGCTGCTCCAATGGGTAGAAACCTTTTCCCAACTTTAATGTATTATTCCTGGCCAATTTATAACCATTTGTTCTTGCGCCAACATTATCCATTAGCTTAAATAGTTCTTTTTGTTTGCTGGCTCTTACTCTCCTGATGTATTTCTAGGCAGCAATCTTGCTCTCTCTCAACCTTTGTTTCATCAAACTAAATAAGCCAGCCACTTTCACATTTATAAGATGGGACAGTAGTTCTCAACCTTTTAAGACTAAAGGCACCCCTTGTTAAACTCAAGGCAGCCCTCAAAAATGCCAGCTTTTAGCTTTCACTCATTTTTGGACTATAGTAAAATAATAAAGCAATTCTTTTGTTGCAGAAAGCTCAGACCACAACAGGTCTGAATGATTTTGACACTGTGGTTTCCTGTTTGAAAACCCTAGGTTTATCTTGTGAATCATGTAGGTGTTTTCACACCTAACAGTGCTAATACTGATCTAATACTGATCCTTGAAAGGATCTTATGGCACCTTGGTTCAGAATCACTGAGCCAGATTCTCCGTTCCCTTGATCATCTTAGCCTCCCTTCTCTGTACGTATTCAAGTGCAAATTAATCTTTCTAAAAAATGAATGACCAGAAGTGTACGTAGTAGTTCATGCAAAGTCACATAAATGCTTTGTACTCTAGGTCTTTCACCTCATCTCCCTACTCTCCTACAAATAAGCATATTAGCAAGTGGGGAAGGTATATTATTTATTATTACTATTACCATTATTATTATTAGAGGCCTGACAATCACACACTTTAAGACTAACAATATTACTGGACTCCCAGCAAATGAAGGAATTAGTCCATGAATACTAGCACTCTAAGCGTGGATGCAGTCATTTCTTTATGAGTTCTACAGCCAGTTACATGTTTTATAGCATTTCTTTAATAATACTCCGACTCAAACCCTCATGTTCAGTCAGTATATCTTTGTGGAGTAAAACTGATCATTTTTACTGTTCAGATTATTTTTATTTGTTTTTTCTTTTGAAAAAGAAAGCAGACTGATTTCATATACATAAGACTTCCAGTATCAGAGGCATACACAACAAACACAAAAAGCTAGCTTGCCACCCACTAGAACAGACTGAACCACAATACAGTCCAGTTGCTAAGTCTCGCCTCAAACCCTTTCTGCACAAAAGAATGTTAAGACGAATGAAAACCATGCTGCTAGACACCTTTTAAACATGCTGACTACATGGTTACTGCAATTTAATTGGATGAAATGATGTCACATTCTTGACTTCAGGCTTTTTAACAGATTCCAGCCATGGCAATAAAATCTAATGAAGGCTGGAGATAATGCATCATAAACATCCTGGATGTAATTCCTGGCAACACTAAAACGAGGGGAATACTTCAGCTGGTACAGATAGCCATCAAGAGACTAAGCCTCTCCCATGACCATTATTATGATACTTTCATGTCAGTTGCAGCTGTAAATACAGGGGGAAAAATGAAAAACATCTCTGTTAACTTGCCTTTTGGGTGCCGTCTGGATGCCGCCAAGTATTAAAAGCCACAGTGAAAGAAAACGTTCCACAGTCTACTGTCAATAAGCCTATCGGCAGAACAGAGAGCTTCCTGTTGCCTCTGTGTCTGGTTTTTCTTTTTAAAAAAAAATAAAAAATAAGCAGCAGAATGTGCAGAAAACTCAATACTTTATTCAAGGCAGAGCTGCTCATATAAATTCAAGCCGTATTTGTTTCAAAATATTGCCAACTACATTTCAAGAAATATACCACTTGAAAACAAATTACGTTTTAAAAAACTCCAGTAAGTATCTTTATAATTTTCAAAACACAAGGCTGTGTCCTGTGAGGTTCTGGCTACCATCAACTTCGATTGCTTTTATGAGAGTGGATGGCGACCTGCTCCTCCCAAGAGGTGCTAAATAGCTTACAAAACTAAGTTCAACCCAGTCAGTGGAATTGTATACCTGTAGATTGCTTTACCAGAATTTGGAATACTCCTCAAGCTCCTACTTTAAACTAGGTTTGGGCAAGGATACTGCCTCCATTTTTAAAATGTTGGCTTATGGAAAAACATCAAAGGGTAAATGTATACAGAGAGCAAGCTGGATGTTCACACAAATGATTTTCAAGACAAGAAGCAGAGATAACGTGTGTGGTACTGCAGACATATTTAGCACTATTTTTAGAATGGCTCAGAACTAAGTCATACCAAACTGGATCAGCACAAGATAAGCATGATGTTGCCTGGAAGCACGGGAGCTTTCAGCTCTGTGCAAACTTACAAATGTTGTTATAGTTTGAGAGGTGTGGAATGGAACACACTGAACCAGGT